CATATTCTTCATCAGAATCTTTGTTTTATCTTTATTTATTTTTAAACCAGCTACCACTCCATATTCCTCTATCTTTTCTATCAACCTAGTTGCTGTTGCCAGTGGGTCTTCTAATATAAAAACCAGGTCATCTGCAAATGCTTGTAATTTGTATTCTTCCTTCTTAATTTTCATTCCTTTTATTTCTTTCACTTCTCTTATATCTCTAGTTAGCACTTCTAATGTTAACACAAACAACAGAGGTGACAGCGGGCAACCTTGTCTTGTACCTTTCTTTATAGCAATAGAATCTGTTAATTCCCCATTAATCATTATCTTTGCTGTTTGATCATGATATATAGCTTCTATGGCTTGAATAGATTTCTTACCAAAGCCCATCTGTTCCAATTGTAATAACATAAATTGCCAATTTACATTATCAAAGGCTTTCTGTGCATCTAAGAATATCAAGGCCATTTGTTTTTCAGGATGTGCCTAGTATTCCAATGTGTCCAGGATAGTTCTCATATTGTCTTTAATATGTCTCTTTGGTAGAAATCCATTTTGATCAGGGTAAATAAAATTATTTAAATATCATTTGAGTCTTTCTGCCATTATTGAAGCAAAAATTTTATAGTCTGAGTTCAATAGGCTTATGGAATCAGAATTTCTGTTGCAAGCAAGGCAGTTGTTATGTGAGTTATCCTGATTTTATTACTTTTTTTTGCTATAGTTGTTAAGCAAATCATTGCAGCTGTTAAATGAATCAGGTGGTCATTAAGTAAATCTGGCTTTCTCTGTTGACTTTGCTTGTTAAAAACCACATGGAAAGATGGCAAATGGTAGTCATATAACTGGAGGATGCTGCATCTGTTATAAATACAAGCCTGTTGCCAAGCTCCCCTGAATTTTGATCATATGAATATGAAGATACTGCAATGTGAGCACTGGTTGTTGTCTTTTTTGGTGTGCCATTTTAATTTCATATGGTTGCTCAGTGAATTGCTGTAAGTCAAGAAAAATATTCTTTAATGACTCTGTATTCACTTAATGGCCATAGTATTTGCTTAACAACTGTCCCCCAGTCATTAAATTGGGTCATCAGGGCTTAAAACAGCAATTCCAGGCTCTATTACTGGTTGTAAGTCGAGAACTATCTGTGCTTCCAGATTACATCAATTCAAAAAAGGAAATTACTTAATGTGTGACTTTGAGGCATGGATCTGAACTGAAATAAACAAATTTCTTGATGAACAAAGAAGATAGCATAGGAATCATAGAAATCAAAGCCTAAAACTTGTGTAAAGTTATCAAATCTCACAAGATTTCAGCATTCTCACTCCAAGATATCATGATATTTTGGCATTCTCAATGAACATCACATTAGATTTCAGGCAATTATACTAATATTATGTGATTTGGCCTTTTAAATTTTTTAATGTATGTGTGTTCTGCTTATTATTCTCTGGATGGTATAAAGCAGACAGAGTAACTCCACAAAACATCCATAACAAAGTCTTTTTTATTGGTTCATCAGGTATCCTCATAACTCACATTTGTGATGAAGTTCTTCGTAATGTCCAATCCTTTGCATATCTGTCTTGTAGTGTAGAAAGATAAAAAGGTCTCAACCCCATGATGATTGAAGCAGCTGCATGGTATGGTGGTATGGTGGTTTCAGGCAAGAATGAGGGAGCCTCCCCCAACCCAACAAGGGTCAATTTAGTGATCAATCAGGATTACAGATGTGGTCACGTGGCATGGACTACATTTCCCAGGATAGCTTTAACTACATTTACCATGATGCATTCCCTTAAAGGGACAGCTCACAATTCCTAAGTAATTATCCCAAATCCCATTAACTCTAAACTGCCTGGACAGCACAATGTGTGAAAATGGGGGGTTGTGGATAACATGGCAGATCCCTCTACACTGATCAAGAGAGAACCAGTTGAGAATTGGAGATTGTCATCAGTCAGTAATTTTCTTCCTAATTTAAAAGCAAAAAAGTCAAAAGAAATCTGGTAGCACTTTTTCCAACCAATGCATTTTATTAAAATTAATTAATGGGAACAGATACTACACTAGACTTGTCCCAACTTTTTACCACACTGTTTCCCTCACACATGGCTTTCCTCCTAAAGTACAATGTCTACGAAGCAATAAGAATTTAATAGCAAAGAATTTCTGATCTCCCCTTAATAAGGGATTCATGTTATTTCTGAAAAAAAGAAAAGTCTATCTGGAAACACGGCTTTCTGAAGGCCATCCTTTTAATGTAGGGACAGTAATGATTTAGAATCCAGAAAAGGCCCTGCTACAATTTATTATCCCCAAAAACCATAACCATATAGAAGGGATTGTGAGAATTATCTCAAAATGTCTAGAGGGAACCTGTTGCCAGTTTCCTTGTAGAAACTGATTTGCATTCTGAACATTCCTAGAGACATTGCCATGTGTGTGTACATTAATTCACCAACCCATATACATTCTTGATGTTTCTGAAAGAATTACACTGCGGAGCACACATCTTCTTCCCAGAGATCTTTCCTACTGAAGTTTGGACGGAATTCCGTCCCGTCTCCAAACAGAAAAGCAAATGAGAGAAAAACCTATCTGGTTTTTGAGAGCTTGGTGGCAAGTTTAAAGGATTTCACTTCACTAGGTTTGTATCTTTGTCTCCCTAATTTCCTTTTGCTGTACTGATGTGATAAGTAGTGATAGAAAGTTGGTAACGATCCCAGAGACTGACTAGCTAAGGCAATATTTATAGACATGACATTTAATGCTCTTCTTTCCCCCACCCATTTCCAGTCCTGGCTTTGAAAACAGATGACAGGAAGGAGCCATGGTAAGCCCCAGCATAAAGGATACCCAGTTCATTTCAACCATGTGATTTCTATAAAACTGCTGAAGGAGTTCTAAAACAGTTTCACAGAAGGCAGATAAACTCTTTTTTTTCCCTTGGACCCTGTAATCCCTTAATTCGGGATGATTTTGTTAAAATCAAAAAACATAGAAGCACAGGTGACTGTAGCCCTTTCTTGCATAACACATTCATGTGTTACAAAAAAATCCTCTGCCTGAAGTCAGTCAAAGTATATATAAAATTATTTTCTTCCAAAATAAAGTAAATGAAGAACTAAGTTCTCCACATGTTAAGAAGCAATTGAGGTTAGACTACATTTATACATCTCAGAATGAAATTCTGTTGAAGTGTAATCATTTTTTCTCAAATTGCAGAATGGATTGATAGAGGCTTATCATTTATTTATTTACTTATTTGTCAAATATAGATAGCTACCTATTTCACACATGTGACTCATACAAACAAAACAATTAAAAGCAAAGCCTGAAAACCAATAAAAACAAAAATAAACAAAACCATGGGAGAGCCCATTTAAAGTCTTACATGCATTATAGCCATCTCACCGGCTCCCTATTTTCATGAGATCCCCAACCCCCTGACAGAACCAAGTTTTAAGAAATTCCTGGAAAATCACTTGAGGCCAATCAGAGTCCAGCTGGTACAGTCTAGAACCTACAGTCACCAAACTTTTGGACCTCAGGGACTACCAAACTCATAATTTTAAATCCTGCGAACCACTAATATGAATTTTGACTGACAGTGAGGTTGGTGGGAAAGTCGGTCCCATATTCCAGAGCTGCAGTAGTCACAAGACTGGCCCTTTGGTTAACCCAGAGCTCTGCAGAAAATGTAGAAGCAGCAGAGACCCTGGGAAAATCCCCCCCCCCAAAAAAAAAGAATGCAGGAAAATTCCCCACCCCATTTTCCTACCGGTCGATCATTCTTTATTTGGGATTGCAGGATACCGTCTCCAGCTCTGTTCTCAGGGGGGACAGAAAGAGGGAGAGAGACAGACTTCTGGCTTCAAGCAAGGAAAACAGCAGAAGTCTTTCTTTCTCTCCCCCAAACTCTGCCAGAAATGAGTCTTTGTGAGACTTGTTGTGCCAGCATAGCCTCTTGGAGCAGGATGCCTTGCAGGATCCCAAAGACTCATTTCTGGCAGAGTTTGGGGGAGAGAAAGAAAGACTTTTGCTGTTTTCATTGCATGCAGCCAAAAGAAGAAAGAAGCAAAAAGAAGCAGCCCGGTGGCCAGGCCAAGCCCATGGGGCAAGTGGTGCAAGTTCCCCCCTCCGCCCTTTCCCCCCCTCCCTCACTACCTCCTGTTGTTCACAATGCAATGTAAGTCTTGTGTTCCTGCAGGCCATGTGGGCGGCGCAGCCTTGTGTTCCCAAGTAGCTTGGATTAATCGCTTTGGAGAGTGCTTTGGGGTGACATTTCTCTGCGGACCACCAAAATTTTCTTGCAGACCACCAGTGGTCCCGGACCCATTGGTTGGCGACCACTGGTCTAGAAGTCCATCTGTCCCTAGCCTAAGGCTGTGAATTTCTTATAGTCTATAATTTCTTATAGTTCTTCTTCTTCCCTGAATGCCATATGTCACCTGGCCACTTGTTTGTCTCTTCCTGTGAATTGGTGGAAAGTCTTCCCAGTTCTGCTGTCTTCCATCCCTTTTTTCTTTTCTTTCCACAACTCTGCCCACTGGCATCTAGGCACGGGAAAACAAGCAGCCTCTTGCCAAGTAGTCCCCCCCCCCCCGCCTCCCGCGCCGCGTTCAATCTCTCCCAATCGAGAAGCCGGAAAGCCGCCCTCGTTGTCTACAGATCCAACTTCGCCTTTGGAGGCATTCCAAAGCGAGACGCAATTTACGGGAAATCTCCGCGCCGGGAAGAAGCGGGGCAAAACGGCCCCTCAGCCCTTCGGGAGTGCCCCACAAAAAACGTCCGCCAAGAGAAGACCTCTGCCCACTTGCCTGCCAGAGAAACCAGGCCTTTCGGATACACAGGCCTCCGCGGCGCCGGCTGACGAATCCCATGCCCCCGGGGCACCTTCGCCCAGCTTCCCGCCCAAAAGCCGCTGCCCGGTCGCGGCTGAATCGATTTTTGTTCTCTTGGCTTGCCCACCGAGAGACAGAGAGCGAGAGAGAGCCTCTTACCTCGTCTGGAGGCGTCGCGTCGCCGTTGCCGTTCCCCATTGCCGTGGTCAGCCCGTTCATCTCGTGGCTGTCCGGGGTCGAGCCCATGTTGCTGCGGTAGCTGCGGCGGCGCGGTGCTAAAAATGAGGCAGGCGAAGGCGCGCGGGGGAGCGGAGACACGAGTTGAGCCGGAGTTCTTACGGCCGCCCTAGACCTGCTCGGGAAAGAGAGCGAGAGCGAGAGGGAGAGGAAGGGAAGGGAAAGGAGCGGGGCGAGCGCTGGGTTTCCCCTCCTGACTCGCAGCACCAATCCAGAGGCAAAGGGAACCGCTCGGCGCGGCTGCGTTGCTGTGGTGACCAGAGGCAAGGGTTTTTGGCCAGCTGTTGGAGGAATTTGTCCGGACGAGTGACCTCTGGCGGGGAGGGACTCTCGTAGGGAAGTGGGAATTCGCCCACATCAAGAGTTAACAGTAACACTCCTTGCCTGTGACGCCTTGTATCCTATGGGAAATTCCGAAGATGGAGACTGCCTTTGTTGTTCTCCTAATGTGTATCTTTCAATAAGCTCTGGGCTTTTCCTCTTTCTTCTGTCTCCAAGGGACCAGAGTAAACATTGTGCATCACTAGGGTTGGGGTTTTTTGTTTTTTGCCCCCTGGGGCTGTGGGGCACTAAATGCAGTGCAATGTGGGAATTTATGGATTAACCTGTAGCCCTCTGGGTGGTGATTCAAGAAGAAATCGGGTGTACCAGCCCAGTTAATACATTCTGAATTAAAAGGAGTGGGGGGTGGGCGGGACAGGACGACATGATAGCAGCATTCCAGTGTTTGAGAGGCTGCCATAAAGAGAAGGGGGTCCATTTATTTTCCAGAGCACCAGAAGGCAGAACAAAAAACAATGGATTGAAACTAATCAAAGAGGGAAGCAACCTGGAATTGAGGAGAAATTTCTTAACAGCGAGGACAATTAGCTGGTGGAACAACTTGCCTCCAGAAGTTGTGGGTGCTTCATCACTGGAGGTTTTCAAGAAGAGACTGGACAGTCTCACTTGTCTAAAATGGTATAGGATCTTCTGCTTGAGCAGGGCGCTGGACTAGAAGACTTCCAAAGTCCCTTCCAGCTCTATTCTGATTCGGAATTCTGCTTCTTCTCATCTATTGGTATCTTTTTTGGGTGCCAAGGTAGAACTTTTATAGATAGTTTTTATTACAGTATTACTATAGCTCCCATAAAGGGTGGTGAGGAATTGGAAGAATTTCATTTGTCAAATTTCATTTGTCAAATTATTTCATTTGTCAAATTTTTACGCAGTCCATCCCACCTAAGTGACTCTGGGCATTGATTCATACTTTTTTCTGCCTTTTGTCCACTCAAAATTACACTTACTCTCTTTTTTTAAAAAAACAAGCGGTCTTTAGTCATGGATGATGGGAAAGAAAAAATCTAGAGGGGATGGTCTAGAAAAGCATTTTGTTTTGCTCCCTTCTTTCTGCTATTCGTGTGGAAACAAATTAGTCAAGAAAAACGAGAGAACAATGTCTGAGAACTGGTCCTCTCTTGGATCTTCCACAATGTTCCTGATTATGCTGATTGTATGGACAACCTTTGTAATGCCACCCCCAGCTGCCTCTTTCACTTTCATGAAGGTGTGATTTCTTCTCGCATAACATAATAATATACACCCCATCAGTGGTGGGATTCAAAAAAAATTACCACCAATTCTGTGGGCGTGGCTTGGTGGGCCTGGCAGGGGAAGGATACTGTAAAATCTCCAGTCAGAGATGGTATTTGCCAGTTCTCCAAACTACTCAAAATTTCCGCTACCTGTTCTCCAGAACCTGCTGAATACCACCTCTGATGCTCCATATTGCAATGTTAAATGTTATCAACCCCTTTTTTTCACAAGAGACTCTGCTAACCCTCAGAGTTAAAAAGGGTTCTTTTGAATTTTTACCTACACATTGCAAGCCTATTTTTACTTACTTGAATTTCAGAAAAAGTTATGGTATTTGATGGGGTGTAATTTTCCATACAATAAAGAAAACCATTTTTTTCCACTGTGGCCTCAAATATTATGTTTTATTGTAAGCACTTTTAGCACGGCAGTCTTAGCCTTCTGTTTAAATTTAAGAAGACATTTTTTTCTTCTTCTTAGTCAAGGCCATTTCAGTATGCAGAGTATGAAATACACCCTTTCAATACGTCAGTCCTTTTTGATTTGGCTGAATTACTTGGCAACTTGTATTTTCAGGTAGGCAAAGAAGCCTCTTTGCAAGGATAAAAGTCTCTCTCAAATTCAGGGATCAAGTTCGTATCAGCTCCACACCAAACTTGGATGTCTGAATTTGGAAGCAACACTGCAAGATGAATTCAGAGGGAATTATATAAATATAAAGGGAAAAGTTTAAAATGCTGCAAAAAGCCCACATTTGTTGTGGAAAAGTTTTGCCCTGTCTCCTTTTATCCAAATATTAATGCTGCAATGCATTCCAAAATACAAAGCAACTTCAAGCTAGAAGCACAGCAATCTTTTGCTTGCTTGAAAAAATAGAGGTTTCTGGGGGCAGCTTCAACCCATGAAAAAAGTACAGCTTACTCCTTCACTCTTGCTTTTCCTTTTCCTTTTTTTCTGAGTAATAGCTGTCACATATACAATACAACCACAACATTCCATGTTCTGACCCTTTCAATAAGCTAACTGTCTAAACAGAGGTCTAAATATTTATAAACACTAAATCAGTTGGAGTATAAAGAAGAAGGAAGTTAGAAATTAAATATTTATCTTTCCCAAGCAACATATTTTCCTTTTTTGTTTTTTCTCTTTTAACATTTATAAATAACAAATAATACAGAAGAGTTTAATATTAAACATTAAGCTCAAAGTTAGAAATCTTTCTCATAAAATAATTCAATGCATTTTGTAACTTTATCAATGGCATACTTAGTATTAATTGTATAATGTAAGCAACTTTATGTTTATTACATTTTAGAAATCATATTTAACATTGAAATAAGCTTTTTTAATCTTTAAAGGTTTAAACAATCTGTATCATTGCAGTGTTAACAATTTCTGGCTCATTTGTGAGAGCACAATTATTATAAAATTATATTTTCAGTCAGTAATTCTACTGCATGTTGTGATAGACACTTTCCATATTGTTTTGTGATCCATCTAGACTAATGGTATTACTTGGTGATTATATTAGTCTTTTAAATAAATAAAATAAGTTTGGTATAATTGTACCTTATAAAGCAGTTGATAAATTGACTTTTTGCTGAATAAATTGAATTCAGCGTTTGCTTTTCTAAATAGTATGTTCTATATAAACCTATTTGTACAAAAGCAGAAGAGGAGGAGGAGGAGGAGGAGGAGGAGGAGGAGGAGGAGGAGGAGGAGAAGAAGAAGAAGAAGAAGAAGAAGAAGAAGAAGAAGAAGAAGAAG